TAACTAAACTATTCCAATCTTGTCTTAATCATCTGTGGTCGGAGGGAACTACTTTTTCTTCTGCTTGAGTAATGCATAAGCACAGTAGCACATGTTCAGTCAGTCACTCAGTCTGTAGATGTATGGCAGGTCATTTTAACATAAAATCTGCTTCGTCAGAGTAACTGTAATTACATTCTAGTCAATGGGTTCCTAAACTTTTTTCATGCTATGGCCCCGCCAAACAGCATTAGCTCTGGCCAGGGACCTTCGTGCAAACCCACAAACATTGCTACAAATTATACAAAGTAACAACTTTTAGATTTTTTTTTTCACTTTTAGCCACTATTCAAAAATTATTAGATTTCTTTAGAATAAGAATTTAAAATTGTGCTAAACAAATGTAGAGTTAGGGTTGGAAAGACAAATAAATTACTGTGGCATGTATTGTTTATGAAGCAGTTATTTGAAAAACACTAATTTTTAAGATTTACCAGACACATTATGTGTGTTATCACAAAGTATCAGTATCGGATCAGTATCGCCRATACCAGACACATTTTACTYKGTATCAGTATCAGAAAGAAATTTGGCAGTATTGAACATCACTAGTCCCAACATCCTTCTGAGTCGACTAGATCACTCCTGACCCACTACACATGGCAGGAATATCTCTTAAGATGATCTTTAGAGACAATATGATAATCAGAGTGTCCTTAAGACTGCTGGAAGGACAAAAATGGTTAAAGAATTGGCACAATTTCTGKAAAAAGCAGGTTTTACATTTCTTTTCATTTTGCTTCTCTTTACGCTTATGTAGTTTGTCCATCTGCCACATTTTATCATCTTAGATTTTTACCAACTATTATTTTTTATTTTACTCAACAATTTTTCTYATTATGATTTGTACAGTCTTGCATGCATAATACTCATCTCTTATGCTCTGCCTCGACCGTGCGTCTGAGTTACAATTTAGAATTTATTTGTCTTGTTTTGAAGTTTTATTATGTTTTGTTATGTTTCATTTTATCTTTCCACCATTTTTACATTGTTGATGATAGTACAGCACCTTGTGAATATATTTCTGCGAAAGGCGCTTTATAAATAAAACTTTACTTACTTACTTACTTACTTACCAGTAAGCCCCAAATTACTGTTTGGCTTTATTGTACCAAAATAATGTGTTTTAGAAGTAGCTGCATTTGCCCTATTCAAAAGTTTAATTTATTTATAGTTGACACTAAAACTAGAGTTGTGGGGTTTTTTTAAAGCTGAAATCCTTGAAAGCAAACCTTTTCCATGTTAASACATAATTACACTTTTCTGTTCACTTTAAGCAGAAAAGTGCTTTAAATGTTGATTTTCATTTGATTCCTTTCCCACAGCTCTGCCAAAGGTAATGATTAATGTACGTACATCAGTGCAGACAGTGATGATTGGGAATTCTGTGGAGTTTGAGTGCCAGGCTGTTGGTGATCCGGAGCCTACGGTAAAATGGAGTAAAGTTGGCAGCTCGCTACCAGAGCACATCATGGTGAAAGGTGGCATGCTGAGGATTGAGCGAATAACAGAGGCCGACGCTGGCCAGTATCGCTGTACGGCAACCAATAATGTGGGCTCAGTTCAGTCCCAGGTGCTCCTTAAAGTTCAGTGTGAGTACAAAAAACTTTGATTTTCCTCTTGGTTACACACTAGGATTTCAATTTTTTGACTGAAATTTGTTGACAGTTTACGCAGTTACTATATTTTTTTATATTTACTGTTTTCTTAGCACTTCCTCAGATTGCTGCACTACCAGAAACAAAGAAAGTGACCGCTGGATCCAATGCAACCATGCCCTGTGTGGCTTCAGGACATCCTGTCCCAGTTATCAAATGGTCAAAGGTAAGCCCTACCCCTACATTTCACTACTCACTGATAGGTAGGTGTATCTCAGAGACCCAGAGGAAGACCCAGGACACACTGGAGGGACTATGTTTCTCGGCTGGCCGGGGAACACCTTGGGATTCCCCTGGATGAGCTGGTCCAAGTGGCTGGGGAGAGGGAAGTCTGGGTCTCTCTGCTTAGGCTGCTGCCCCCGCGACCCGACCTCAGATAAGCGGAAGAAGATGGATGGATGTCAGGAATTGTCATTAAAACAACAAACGGTTCTTTTGTAAAAGTATTGTTTTTACCCTCTAATTGAATTTCATACATTGAGAATCCACATAAGGCAGCAAAAATTGACCACACTTTTTTGTCCTTTAAATTGTCCACCTGCTAACAGTTTTTGATGTTTCCTTTGTTTTTGAAGATGGAGGGAGAACTTCCTCCCAAGTGTTTCCAGGAGGCCAATGTGCTGACAGTTCCTCGAGTCWCCTATGAAGACTCTGGTACCTACGTCTGCACTGCCTCCAACAAACAGGGCAAAGTGGAAGCCTTCACTAGACTTGAAGTACATGGTGAGTGTGTGAAGTATTCAGCACARCTAAGTTTTAGAAATGTTTATATCTTACATCACATGTGCTCTTTCAGAGAGAGTGATGCCATACTTTTCCCAGGAACCCTTGTCCTACCTCACACTGCCCACCATCAAAAACGCCTACAAAGCTTTCAGCATAAAGATCAATTTTAGACCAGACAATGTTGATGGTAAGAGTCTGATAAATTTACTTTTTTTTTCAGCTTTTTGTTTTGTGTTTTTGAAATTTAATTGAATGTAATCTCTGTGGATCTCCTATCCTCCCCTCTTTCCCACACCTCACCCCACCCGTATGTGGTGGGAAGGTCTCATGTTGTATGCAGGTGAGTCTCAGGAAGTGAAAGCTACTTTCTGGCTGCATCTGAATATCCCACTGTTCTCAGAGCTGATTTATGGACTGTGAACGAAATGCGCAAAATAATGCATGAGCAATGTTTTCARGCATGTTCACAAATTCATCAAAGGAAAGTAACATYAATCCGTGTATGGTTCATTCTTTCATTTTTCCATTTCAAAATAAAACAAATAATACAGTGGGGTTTTTTTGTTTTGTTTTAAAACAAAATTAGAAAAGTGACAATTGCAAAATTGAAAGAGGCTTTTTTATTTTAATAGTTATGGAAAATTCAATCTTTATATTTTGTATTTGTTACTTTCTGGCAGAACCGGAAATCATGTCCTGAACTCTCGATGCATTGCATTTTCACTTCGCGCTTTAGAAACAGCCTTTTTGGAAGGAGCTGATGTATCTTGAGAGATATTTTACTGTGAACAAAAYTGTTTTAATATACCAGTTATTACAGTATCGAATTTGAGTGCAGCCATTATCAATGTCTTTAGAACAAGTTTCTGTTTTTTAGCAGTCCTCTTCCATCATTTCCAGTTTCAATACATGAACAGAAAACATATATTTTATTTTGGATATAAATAGCTAAAGCAAAAATCAAACACTGTCGATTTTTAATTAGTTCAATTTAACATTTTTACATTTAGGTTTTGAAAACAGAMAAACAAAAAACCTTTGTTGTTTTCTTTTTGCGATTTTATTTTGAAATGAAAAAAGCCCAAGAACGAACTATACACGGATTAACATCATACCATGAGTCTACATTATACTGCCAGGACAACATAACTATAAATCAAGTCAAATTTATTTTGCAATTATCTTATTGATTTTTTTCCCATGATGTAATTGTATGACAAGAAACAAGTTTTTTTTTTCATTTGCATAAGAGGAACATTTGCAAAACTGACCACATTTTTGCAGTTTATCCTGCTTTAATCACCCCAACTTAAAGCTTTGACAGATGTTGTTTGCCCCYGTGTTCCCACACACCCCTCAGGAGCATGTGTGAATGGCTTTAAACCTGTGACACAATGGCATGCTGCTTTATTTCACCATCCATCTTTGAGCTGTGAATGATTTCAAATATGATGTTCATCCTAACAACTCTGTAAAAGTTCACACTGAAATGATGGCAATGGTAGAGTTAATACTCAAAATCCACACAGGATGATTCACATGTACAGAGGACAGGGTTGACACATGAACAGGACAAGATTCAGACACGTTTCTGATTCACATCCAGTATATCTTGATTTACAAAGTGCTAGTGGTCTGTGAACTTCACTGCATCTGTGTGTAAATTTTGTGAGACTCCGCTGACGGCTCAACTCACACATCAATTTTATTTAACAGGGAATGAGCTGCAACCAATCAGATATCTTCCTTGTTTCACCCAATCATAGGAACGTACTCCATGTGGGCATGATTTACTTTTAATTAACCCATTCAATCCACGCTGTACACCAGAGGCGATTGTTCTAAGACTGCAAGGGAAGCTCAGCTTCCACTAAAATGTAAAAAAATCAAAAAATCAAATACTGTTGTGAGTACATGTCATTGACTAAATATGCGCTACAACGCGCTCAACTTTTGTTCAGAATCAGCTTCTTATCACTGGTAACGATGCGGCTTTCCTCTCCCTCATTCCTGCAGCTTCACAGTGCTCTAAACAGTGTGGACGCTCAGCTTCCACAGAGCTCCTTAGTGATGCAAAGACTGCAGCGAAACAAGACGAGTCATTGGATAAATGCTGGGCTTTGTCCCGCCCATCTGATGCTGAGCGTCTCTGGTGGTCTATGGGGCTGTGGGCTGACCTCGACTGGCCCGGACTCTCAGCTTCTGTATGATGATTGGATGATCTGTTGGAGGCTGAATCCCTTTTTGAATGACAGCGAAATGAGCGAATCAGAGATCTTTTGGTGTAAACATTCCGTGGGAGCACTTTTTAGTTTCATTCTGTTCTGAGTTGAACCGGAGACTTTATTAATCTTTTTAGCAGCATTTTCTTTGTTAAAAACGACCAGTGACAAATCAAGCTTCTATTTCTGGTGGTTTTTCTGTAGCTGCTTATGTTTGGAGACAGACTTCCATCACTCTTTCTGACTTCTTTTGTCCAGCGGCTGCTGCTGAGCCCCTTCACCGTCATAAAACACTCACAGGCGGACACACTTCACACCAGTCCCAGCTAGCAAGCTAGCTAGGTAGCAAGCTGCACACAATGGCAGACAGTTTGAATGTTGTGGACCGGATTTTGTTGAAGCCATTTGATGGTCTTCCTTATGAAGAAAAACTTAGCGTTAAACAGCAGGGCTGATCAACTCCTCAGATTAATTTGGTGCAAAAGGTGGGGAAAAATAACAGGTCTTTTCAGCTGTTCTGGTTTGACAAAGTGAGCTGGCTGCTGTAAAAGACTATAGAATAATCTGGAAAATGATTACAAAAGCATTGGATCAATTAATTTCTTCAAAAAAATGATCAAAGCAAAGTTGTTTAAGAAATATGAAATTGTTTAATTTGTATTTGTATGAGTCACTGTTTGAGGAGTTGAATTTTTGTTTTTGTT